GTCTCTCTCTCGCGTGCGTTCTGCAGCAGTCACTTGGATAAGTCGTTGTTGCTTGTTGAACTTGTTGACTTTTGATGAATTTGAGCGCGTGATGCGCGCTGTGAAAACGTGTGTTGGAAATACAAATTGAGGACCAATCTGCACCTTATTGATGACCCGTGGCGTTAATATACTGCATCTGTGACAGCGCGTGATGTAATAAAACTGCAGCTCATTAATAAACGTTTCTTTTTTTATTATTTAAAAAAATACAATTTTATACAATCCGCCGCTATTTAGCAAGTGCACTTGCGCATAAACAATTTTCAAGTTCAACACTTTTTGTTCCGTTCAGTTGTGGATGCTGCTGATTCACCGAGACCGCCGCGGCTCAGCAAAGAGACATGCGTGTGTGTATGTGTTTCCTTTGAAAAATTTTCCCCCAGAAATATTTCGCTATTTAATGCATTTTTCCTTACAAATTGTATTATAAGCATAACAATTTGAGTAAATGTGTAAAAGGTATGGCATGATGCCATCCTTCTAGAACAATGTGCATCTGTTAAAATTGTAACATAAATGATCAAGTTTAGTTATTCTTATTTCTTTATTGCAAAACGCTAAAACTGGCAGATAGTGTTTATGCTCAAACAGCAACATTACACACTAACTAACGTTCAAAAAAGTGAAATCACAATGAACCACCCCTTTAATATATAACTACAAATACATAACCAACTACACACATTGTGTCTTACTGTCAGGTAACTTTTAAATACTTGCATGCTTGCTTATTTGTGTGCTCCTTAAATGAAGAGTTGATCCAAAAATTTAAATTCTTTCATTATCGACTCACCCTCGTGCTATCCCAGATATGTGAACAATTACTTTAAGCATGGATGGAGAGAGATCTGTACCCAGTCACTCATTGATGCAAAAAAGCACTGATTGGGCAATGAACAAAACTCTCATTATATGAAGGACAAAAATAAAATAAGGCTATAAATAAAATAAAGCTAGCACACTAAAAATAAATCAGAATTTAAAACCACATTATATATAGAGTGCACAAGACGCTTGCATACCTGAGAAATCCACCATTGAAACAATAATGCTGAAAACATGTTTTATTTATTTAGTTTCGTTTTGGATAGAGGACACAATTTGTAGAGCAAGGTCCTTCAACCCTGCTCCTGGAGAGCTAGAGTTAAGCTCAAACACCAATCAAACACACCTGAACCAGCTAAGTAAGGTGTTCAGGGTTGCTTGAAAATTACAAACAGGTGTGTTGGAGCAAGGTTGGAACTGAATTCTGGAGGAAGGTAGCTCTCCAGGAGCAGGGTTGGAGACCCCTGTTGTAGAGTTTCATGGAGATTTTTTGCTGTTTCCCACCTCTTTTTGTATTGCCCATTGTGTTCTCAGAGAGATCTTTGGAGGATATCAATTCCTAGGGAGAGTAGCAACAGTCCAGTATTTTAAACATTTCTAGGCAGCTTTGTGCATATCTGTAATGTGTTTTAAGGTCCAATGAAAGCTTTTGGGATTGAGGCATGGTTCACACTAACCAATCCTCTTGAGAAGAACAGTCAGTAGCCAAGACTTTGTGTGCCTTTATTTAAAGGGCAAAGCACCTGTGCAACCCACATTTCCAATCTTCCAACTTATTGTTGCCCTGTATATACCTTAATTTTTATTTAAATATTTTCATTTATATATTATATCTATATGTTTCTGAAAGATACACTCCTCAAAATATTATGTTTCATAGTCCATTACTTTACTTGCTGTTTCACAGTCCATTAGTTCACATTTCTGTTTCACACTTCCTTCATGCAGAATATGTGATATTCCGGAGATTGAGGAGTCTGAGAGATTCTACTCTTCATTACCTTGTGGTGTGCGTCTCATCTTTGCTCTCTACAATTTGATGGAGTCTCAGTCAGAGATGTTCTGTTACTTTGTGATTATCTTAAATCACATGGTATCTGCCTCTCTACTAACACTCTTCCTGCCAATCCTCATCTTCCTGTGGGCTATGCTGTCAGTGCCACGGCCAACCAAGCGCTTCTGGATGACAGCTATTATCTACACACAGGTCAGCATCTTCACAACTGCTGCAGCTGATGTTTCAAATGATTGGGTCAACCATAACGTATTCTCAAGCTATCAAAGAATATAAGACATTTGGTAGTGATTTCTTCCTCCTTTTGATTGTTACTTTTTTATTGTGACTATATTGTTGTGAAATCACACTAGACCATGTTTACACAAAGGTTTACTTTTGTTCATGCCGATTCCAGGTACATTGTAATCGAGTGGTTCTCAATTCCAGTCCTGGGGTACCACGGCTCTGCATATTTTGTATATCTCTCTTATCTGAAACCCTCGGTTCAGTTTATGGATCTCCCTCCTAATGAGCTAAAGATCTGAATCAGGTGCGTTAAATAAGGAAGACATACAACATGTGCAGTGCAGTGGTACTGAAACTGAGTTCCGTGTTATCCATGTATAATTTTAAGTTTCAGAGAGAGCAGGGCCCTGTTCTTCATACATCACTAAATACATCCACAAACAAATGACAGATAATCTAATTGTGCTAGGTAGTTGTGCTTGGTAGTGATGTCAGATTTACCGGTACTTCTGTGTTTTAATCAATACTAAAATTGTGAAAATACCAAGTGCACTTCTTGTTGTTTGGTGCCCCTGGGGAGCAGATCTCTTGGTGACTTCTTTGATAAGTTTTCAATTTTTTTAAGGTGCTCTATTTATTGGAATGTTATTGTGGTGCCCCATCATCTCCACTTGTTGATGATAGGCTCCACAGTATTCCATAACACAACTAATGTTTTGGAAATACTTCTGTACCCATCTCCTGATTGGTACCTCTTCACAATGAGATCCTATGTATCCTTTGTGGGCCACAGCTTCAGCAGGAAAATGCAACCAGAAAGATGCTAAGAAAACCCTACAGACACAACAGATTTTTATTTAGGGTTAATCAGTATCACCTAAACAATAACGTCTCGGGTTACTTGACTTTAACCCTGTTCCCTGAAAAAGGGGGAATGAGATACTGCATTTCAATAACACATATGAGAACATTCTTTGTTTTACCGGTTGTGAAGCACGTGTGTCAAACATGCCAAGAATTGGCTTAAATAACCTCGGTGGGTGACATCATTTGATTAGGTGCACCTGCGGGGTTATAAATAGACGTGAAACGGACACACCTTCAGTTTATTCCTTTGTCTGAAGGGACGTCCAGGCACGTCTACAGTGCAGCATTGAGGCGCAGCATCTCGTTCTTCAAGAATACCAATGCTGCCACACTGGAAGTGTATGGACCCCTCAAGGTTGTGTAGTGTGCGCACAAACATTGAAGAAGTCTCAGACATGACTTTGGGATGTTGACTCAAGGACATGTAAGCACGGAGTAACATGGACATCCAAACGTCCAGCCTGCCGCATCACACACTTGCTGCAAGGGGACACCTCTTGCTACAGCCCTAGAGGATCCAACCCCCTGGTTGAATGGGCCCTAACTCCTAGAGGTGATGCTTGACCGTGCTTCTCATATGCTAGGGCAATAGCATCCATCACCCAATGTGACATTGTTTGTCTAGTAGCAGCCGCCCACCGGTTGCGGACCTTATAGCATATGAAAAGCTGTATGAAAAGCCATAGAGGATGCAACCCCCCTGATTGAATGGGTCATAACTCCTAGAAGCGAAGCTTGACCGCGCGCCTCATAGGCTAGGGCAATAGCATCCCTCACCCAATGTGACATTGTTTGTCTCGTGGCAGCCCCCATCAATCAAGAGACCCAATCAATCAGAGCGTGGCAAGCCGAAAAAGCGGCCACATAGACTCTGAGAGTACCAGGACATGTACCTGAGGACAGTTTTTCTTGCAGGAACTCCAGCACTGAAACACCTTGGCAGTGAACTGGGTCTGCATGGTGTATCATACACCAACTTTCGAAAACATGTCATCTGAGGGCATAACTTCTTCTAGTGGAGGGAGCCCTAGCACTTACTTTTACACTCTTTATTTAGTCTGAGGGTTAAAGCAATCTCTCGCCAGAGAGAAAAACTGTGTAAAAACGCGATTGAGATAGTTTTGAATAGCAATTGGGCTGGTTTTGTTTTGCAGACCTGGCAACCTGTCAGTATGTTGTTGGAAACTCAGAAGCAAAGACCAGGGGCCTCATGTATCAAACTTTCCGTAGGTTTCATCCTAAAAGTGTGCGTACGCACAAAAGCTACATTTTGTGTACACATAAAAGTTTTCAGATTTATAAAACCATTAATAATGTAATATTATTGAAAAACTGATTTATTTTTTTCAGTACAAAAGCTAAACTTTGACAAAAAGTAATTTTGTGATTTCATAATATTTAGATATGAATCCAACTGAAAAAACCTAAGATATCTTTCAGTTAGTCAAATAGCAAATAGTGGAGCTCTGCAGCCATCTACTGGTAAAAAATTATAATTTTTTACTTTTAAAACTGCATTTTCCAAAAGATGGGCAAAAATCTTACACTAAACCATGTCAAATTATCCATGTTATCCCCATGAATGAAAGTTAGAAATGTGGGTCTTTTATAAAGTGAATTTTACATAAAAAGCTGTTTTTGTATAAAAACCTATTTAAAAAAAAATATATATATATATTTTACAAACATATATTGCACAAACGTGGAGTAAAAACATTAATAAACAGAGTAAAATTACATTTGTTTTAAAAAATATATTATTTTGTTACAAAATTAAATTTTGTTACCTGGGGTCTCTAGAGACCTCAAAGACCATGAGTGTACACCCCCAAACGAAGACCGCATAAGGGTCTAAATGTGTATATCAAAAGGAAAAAAGTTTCAAATGATTTTTGTTAACTTCATCATTTCGCTCACCCCAGTTCATACACATGGTCTAGATTGTCCACGTATTGCGCGTGTATTTATGCCTAGTTTATTTTTTTATAAATGAGTGACGTGACGTGACGTGGCCAAGTATGGTGTTCCATACTCGGAATTTGTGTTCTGCATTTAACCATCCAAGTGCGCACACACAGCAGTTAGTAGTGAGCACACACACACACACACACACACACACACACACACACACACACTGTGAACACACACCCAGAGCAGTGTGCCGATATGTGCTTGGAAAATTGCATAAGCACATTTCTATGCCCATTTTATGCATACACAATGTTTATACATCAGGCCCCTGGAGACTCTTTTGTATCTTTAGCAGGGTTCTTTATTGAGAACTTGCTGTGTACAAACCTTCAGGAAGTGTGCTAAGGTCATTCATATTCAAACCAGTGCCTCTTATCTCAATATGCCACACACACACACAGTGTAAACACACACCCAGAGCAGTGTGCCGATATGTGCTTGGAAAATTGCATAAGCACATTTCTATGCCCATTTTATGCATACACAATGTTTATACATCAGGCCCCTGGAGACTCTTTTGTATCTTTAGCAGGGTTCTTTATTGAGAACTTGCTGTGTACAAACCTTCAGGAAGTGTGCTAAGGTCATTCATATTCAAACCAGTGCCTCTTATCTCAATATGCGACTGATGAGAATGGAACATTCAAATAATTACAACATTTCATGAAATCAAATCACCTATTCCTTGTGCCCACCTACTGCTTAATCATAAATCTCCTTCCAAACTCTTCTTCCAGCTGCACCTGTGATCCCCACAGTCAAAGCTGCCACACTGCCTCAGCAGATGCATGTCTTGACACGCGGGGCGCAGATGCTTAGCCCCCATCCCTCAAAAAGAGTGCCAAGTAGGAGCAGAGCTTTGTTACCATGAAGTCATCACAGTAAGCGCATCCAGCCCCCTCAAGAACTGAACGTGCGTGCTCTGCTCCATGACAGATAACACACAGATCGTGTGTATCACTCAGTGTAATGAAACATGGACAGGGCGACACACATTCGTACACACTCATCTTTCTTCGTAATCTGCTCTCATACACACACTTCAAACAAACAGTCTCCTGAAGGCAAATAAGCTGATGATGTGTAATGCAGGCACCCTTTTATGAACACGAGCACTCCATGTGACGTCGTAAGACTGCCATCTGCCAAATTATTTTGGCATGTTTATACACGTGCTTCAGACACAGGTCACACTGGGAAGTGTTTCCATAGTGTCAATATCATAACGCAGCATCAAAGTTTCCTCATATGAAGAATGGGGCCCAGAGGTTGTAGGACCATTTTCAAATTTTCTAGTGAATAAGCATTGTAGTCTTTAAATATGTGCTTAGTTGAAGCTAACTTTAATTTGTTCTATATCATAAAAATAAATAAATAAACATTGTGAAGACTGGGTAGTAGGGCTGTCAAATCAAAATTCGAATTTCGAATATTCGTCAAATTTAAAATCAAAATCAAAATTTTTACAAAATCCACAATTTTAAAAGGGTCATATGATGTTGCTAAAAAGAACATTATTTTGTGTATTTGGTGTAATGAAATGTGTTTATGCGGTTTAAGGTTCAAAAAACACATTATTTTCCACATACTGTACATTATTGTTTCTCCTCTATGCCCCGCCTTTCTGAAACGCGTCGATTTTTACAAAGCTCATCGGTCTGAAAAGCGAGGTGTGCTCTGATTGGCCAGCTATCCAGTGCGTTGTGATTGGCCGAATACCTCAAGCGTGTGACGGAAATGGTACGCCCCTCACCATACTGTGATGCCCTGTCAGGCCGGAGCGATCATTCAAAAACATTAAATAAAACCCATTATAAACGAGGCATTTGTTGCATCCAGTGGGGAGGTACTTTCAGACTGTGAGTCAGAACAGCTGGCATTGTAGTCTACTCTACCAGGATCAGGAAACAGTCCTCCATAAAATGTGCTGCACACATCTGAATATTTGGGTTGAACTGTTTTGGAACCGTGTTGGAAATACAACTTAACCACTGATTTCTAGTCACGTCCTCTTTTGGAAGGCCAAACAAAGTAGTTTCGCTTTCACAACGAAACACACAGCATCTTCACAACATGGCGGTGGCGGCGGCAGCAACAATAAAGTTACGCCTTCTTTCTTTCTGTGAGCATTTGGGCGGCGTTATGCAAATCTTCCCACATCCTGACATAGACATGTGGGGGCGTGTTTGAATGAGGCGTTTTAGGAGGGCGTGGACCAGTCTTAACTTTTATAAAGAATATCTCTTTGGGTTTGAGACTTTAGTCTTTGCAACTTTAGGGATCTTATCTATTCACGAACATCTTTTAGCACTTCAAAGAGAAAGGAAAACTTGAAAACTCGCATCATATGACCCCTTTAAATGTGCGTCAGGCAGCCTTATCAGACGATGTAATTGTCATTGCATTTTAATGTTTTTGTTAGCCTATCCAGTTAAACCCACTAGATGCGGCACTGCTGTGTTGTTCATTGAAAAAATATTGCGGAAAAAGAGAACATCGATGCGGAGAAGATCTTGTTTACGTCAAAACTTAATACAAAGCCTTTCACACAGAACGCATATTTTGCCCATTTTCTAGAAGGACATCTATCACCGTTGCACTCGCGTCTCACACAAGAGAGCCGCATGTTTAGAAAGCCATGTAAAATTAATGTAAGTTCAACTTTTAAAAAAACAAGAGACTTTATGGCAGGTTTTTTCCCATCCCATCTCATGTTTTTAAATGAAAAAAAAACTACTGTGTAATTGGCATTCGGCCCTTTGTATTAAACAATGCATACATACATGATGCTGTTTTGTTTATAATTGTTTAAGCAACTTAATTTTATTCAGTTTTTAAACATTATTTTAAACATTATGCACTTTTTCCACATGTAATCATGTTATTTTATTGCTTTGAATAAGCGTGCATTAGTAATATTTTGCTCGAAGCACCCTCTTGTGGCCTCAGGAGACAAACCAAAAGCTTTTTTCCCCCCTAACTGAAATTATGCCTGTTAAATTCTAATATTGTTTATATTTATGTACAAAATTCGAATTTAGTTTTTAAGCCATTTTGACAGCCCTACTGGGTAATGAGGTAACAAGGCAGCTGCCTTATCTTTCAAATGCAGCCAGGAAATCAAAGTACTTTCAAATAAAGAAAATATGGCCCCGGAAAAAGAAAACATAACAGAAAAACACAAAAGTGTTACAGGTGGCACCAACAGGAGCATAGGTTGAGAGGATAACAAGAACATACACCTGAAATGTTTTGAAATCTAAAATCTATCTTTTTCCCCTCTCTTCATCTCCACTCAGCTCACAGTTGTGGTAAAGTACTTTTCCCAGTTTGGCTTCTTTCCGTGGACAACATCAGCATATCGTGGCATTAATGCGGAGCGTGCATTTGCAGTACCCAACATAGTTGGAATTGAGAAGAAAGATGGCTATGTACTGCTAGACCTCATTCAGTTAATTGCTTTGTTCTTCCATCGCTCCATTCTTAAGGTACTACCCATGCATCACCCTCCCAGAAATCTACATAAGATATTTAACTGCCATTGGAAACTGATATATTTAACTGTCTTTTTTTTTTCATTCCACACAAATTAATACTTCATTCAGCAGGAATGCATTAAATTAATAAAAATTAATTTATTTGTATTTATATTTTAAAAAAATTGCATCTATAACAGTTCAGTGGCTTATTAGAAGTGAAAATGTTAATATATAATGTAATATTTTGAATTATAGATTTTTTTAACTCTATAACCAAGCTTAATTAGCTTGAGCTTTTACACATACATAAGTTTAGCCCATGCATGTGCTAAAGTTGAGTAGGTGTTTGTGAACTCAGAGACAAGGGCTAGACTAGAGGAACCAAATGCAGTTGATTTTAACCCTCTGGGGTCTGAGGGGGTTTGGGGGCCCTGGAGAAGTTTTGACATGTCATTTTGACAAAAACATATTAATATTTAATAACAGTTTAATAACTTATCAAATGTTTAATAACTTTTGTAAGCATTTTGATGTGTGTTAGCTGATCTGTTAATCATTATGTAATGTATAATAAATTCATTTGTAAACATTTACATACATAATATCTCATATACGTAGCATATATGTATATTTAAATATATAAACTAATGATCTTTTAACCATTATAATGTTTGTTAATGATTTATTAATTAAAGTTCTTATAAAGTGTTACCAAAATGTGCTTTGTACAGTGTATTCTAATATTTAATTTTCCATGATGGATACAGGTGATGCTGCCTTAAAATTTGTCCAAATTAGTTCAATATTTGCATCAGAAGCATGCCTTTGTTGTCTGAGAATGCTGCCTAGTTTGGTGGTTCAGTAGGATTTTGAACAGAGCCAGTGAGTTGAGATGTTGATGTGTTTTTGTTTCTTCAGTGTCATGGTTTGTGGGATAACAAGGAGGTGGAGATGCCAGACTTTTTTAAGAAACTGAAGAGAAAAACAGAGAAAAACAAGATGGCTGGAGGATCAAGACCACGAGAAGAAAACACAAGTAGACAAATGTCCTTCTTTCCTTCATACACTTCTTTTCTTCAGAGACAGAGAGCAGAGAGCCCTGAGAGACAGGGTAAGATCTCCACATGGACATACATGAGGAACTTATTTACACATACATATAATACTTAAAACAAATAATGTATATACATATACACAAGCACACATTTCACACGGGCCAGTTTGTTCTCTCTTGATCTTGTTTTGTGCTTTGTGATGCCATACGTAAGTATTTACATATCTGTGCTAATATGAATATTCAATATTATATCAGCAGATTCAAACCAAAGCAGGAAGAAACATTCACAGAAGAAGCAACAGTGGAATGTGCCACTAAGCAGGAATGAGCGAATAAAACAGTACATGAATGGCCGAATGCTGGAAGCCAAAGCTGCTGTCATAGAGCTGTAAGAGATCAATAAACATGACTTTTTTATTCATTGAAACATATGTATAACATATGTATACAGGTGCATCTCAATAAATTAGAATGTCGTGGAAAAGTTCATTTATTTCAATAATTCAACTCAAATTGTGAAACTCGTGTATTAAATAAATTCAATGCACACAGACTGAAGTAGTTTAAGTCTTTGGTTCTTTTAATTGTGATGATTTTGGCTCACATTTAACAAAA